ACTACAGGTGCGGCCCAGGGAGAAGTGGACGGTTGAATGATCCCTTCCGCCAGCATTGCTTTAATTTCGTGCTGTAAGGTTTCTTTACGGGGTGGCGACAGTCTGTACGGCGGGACTGAGATTGGCTTTTCATCTACTGTCTTGATAATATGTTCTATCAACTTTGTAGGTTCACTCTTCGTATTAAAGACGTGGCAGTTGTTTTGTAAGAGCTTATTCAGCTGCTCGTGTTGGGTATCCGTTATATGTGAAACCACATCAATGGAGTCAATGCGCACGTCCCAGTTGTTAGCATTAAATAAGCCTGCACTCTGTGGGGACAATTCGACATCTGCTCGGTGAATGCTTATCTGCGCGTCCCGCAACATGAAGTCGTCAAACCCTGGGGAGTATCCATCAAACAGGCGTGGCCTTTTTTTACATGGGGGGGTGGCAGCCAGGTCTATAGGTGCCAGTTTATAATCCCCGTTTTGCCCACCTGGTGGCGTTGACATCGCTGGTGTATTACCGGTAAGGGCTGGTACCATTGTTGGCGGGGGTGTTGATGGAGGGGTGAGTATCACCGACGCAATACTAGTGGAATCTTCACTGTTGGTTGATGATAAGGCACTGACTGGACTTGGTATTTCCGTCATTTCTCTGATGACAGTGGTCTCAAAGTTGGCAAACTCTTCCGAGTACAGCTCATAATGCATGTCGGGTTCATCAATGAAATTCCAGGTGAATTGAGGCATATTTATGACGATGCCCGCATCCTGCAGGAAACCAACACCAAGAAGAGTTTTGTTCTCTTTTGCTTCTGGTAATATGATGAATGGGTTTAGAACCTTTCGACCGCATAATTCCACCATCACGGAGCATTTCAACACTATCTGTGTTTTTTTCACGCCGTCAGCTAATGTTAGGTCTACTGATTGTTCCTTAAACTTGCATCCACGTTTTTGCAGGACCAAGAATAGCGAGTAGCTGGCAACACTCATTTTTGCGCATGTGTCAATGTAGGCGGTTCCTTTAATCCCCTCAATATCAAGGAACACAACTGGTCGTTCATGTTCCTCCGCCCGAACGTTGATTGCGCAGAAACTAACGTCTTCCTTCTTGACTGGCGCTGCGTGCTTGTTGCACGTAGTGCAGCTACTACGATATACTCCGGGTGCGCCGCATCCGTAGCATGAAAACTTTGGCTGAGAAGGAGATGGCGCTTGAGTTTGAATTTCCGACACCTCCTTTACAGGGACGGAGAGAGTGCCCTCAGCCCGTTTCTTCTTCCTGCACACGTCCGCTGTATGACCGGGGTTTTTGCAGAAAGTGCACTTCTGCTTGGGTTTCTTGCCTTGAGGATTATTATTTACGCTGAGTTCTGAACATTTTGAGCTCACTGCATATTCTTGTAACGTTTCCTCGATTCCACGTGCTGTTTCCAATAGTTTATCGAATGTTGGCACCGAGTCTCTTGGCATTCGGTTCCTCACTTCGAGGCGAATTAGCGCAAAGATGAGGTCTATTTGTTGCGTTTCAGTAAGTTTTGGTGGTGGTAGCAAGGCAAACATTGCCCGCTTTTTTGCGATAAATGCCTCTGTTGTTATACTGCCTTCTTGTGTTTCATGTGTTATTTGATGACACACCATGTATGCAGGTTTTTTGGGAGCAAACGTGTGTCGCAGTTTTTCACAAAAAACTTCCCACTGCGATACGCTGCTTTTCACTCCTTGCCACCATATTGCCGCTTCGTCTGTAAGCAGTAGTGGAAGACCTTGTAACGCGTCGACGTCGCTAATCCCTTCTGCCGTTTTGTAAACAGTTGCTGCGGCTATGAACGCTTCAACTGCATCCGTATCCTTTTTCCC